TAACAAAATGAAATAAGACACGAATATGCTTGGTTCAAGGATGATGAACTTTGTTATTCGACAAACAAACATCACTCTAGCTATCACAAAACATCTTTACGTGTTCGTGAGAAATACCCAAGTCATTAACATAACAATGCATCCAAATGTTTTTTTAAAGGCTTCAGTCACCATCATATATGCTTCGGTAGTAAACAATAAAACAGTAGTCTGTGATATTGAAAGCCAATAAACAGGTTCACTAGCCATAGTGAACAAATAACTGGTAGTGGATCGACGCTTATTAATCTCAACAAGTCTCTTGGAAACAATTGACATGTCATCAAATATANAAGCAGGAAATCAAATCATTTGTATTAAATTTATTTGAATATAACTTAAAAGAGTGTTGAACATATAGTTTCTAGGAAATATGTGTAACATGCATCATCGGTCTCCACATAAAATCAACTAGTCAGACAATCTACCAATCTTCACATTCATCCTTTCAGCATTACGGAGGTCCACATGGGAAAGAAAGAATCACCGTCTAAGAGACCATCCCCTATATCAATACGAAAAAAAGTTCAAATTCTCTCTTCCTCACAATTCCATCAATTTGGTTTAGAATATTAAATATCAAAATTATCTATATCAATTTTTGCAAAGAGATTAGCATGAGAATAGACCTAGAATTATTAAACTCCGTCAAAATTAGCAAAAAATGAGATAAGAAGAGACAGAAATAAAAATAAAAAAAATAAATAAATAAATAAATAAATGTAGGGAAGAATCTCCGAGTCTGACCCTTTCTTAAAGTATTTGAGGTGAGTATGTCTACTAGTCGATAACTTTAAGTTATTTTTCAGCCAAAAATGGATTTAGTTAATACGGTTAGAAGAGTTGATCATATATTATGTATTAACTCAATCTCAAAAACTCACCTAGGATGAATTGGACTTAGACAAGCAGATTTAACCTAGTTTCGAGGATAACTGTAACTCGACATTGGAGTACCAACTAAGTGGTTTCACTACTAGCTTGATTGGATGAATGGTTTGATGCATGGACAACGTGTGTGTTGTGGCCCTGCACGTGTTGTGCCATGGGGGGATCTATCCTTTTAACATATCACAACATGGCCTTAAACAGTTTTTTTAGTCCGGGCAAGATTGGATGTGCAGTACTTCTCTTCACATGACCCATGTATGTGAGCATGGACCCACCAGGTGGGTTCGAAAACCCCCGGGATCTGGCTCGACGGGCTAGCAATCGCTAACAAGCTCATGTTAAATAGCAGAGAGAGAAATGGTCTGCATAACACAACGCACATAAATATCGAAAATCATAAGTCGTAATGTAAGTATCCCGATGCACGACACAATAATATGCATGAGTTCCTCATAGCATAATCTACCTCATATACACATGACACACTAAAGGTTGAGAGATTTTTGGAATAAATTGTCTGACGTCTATTTTAAATACCCCTCCACCCTACCTAAGTTTTCATCCCAAGAAATATAAAGCAG